CCAGGGCCCAGCACCCTGGGGGCACTGCCCCGCGCCCGCGCTGCTCCCTCCCCCGCAGGGGCAAGGAGGGACCGGGCCGGGCCGGCGCGCAGGAGGCGCAGAGGAGCCCGGCCTGGCCCCGGCTCGGCAGAGGCGAGAGCGCAGCGCGGCCCCGGCTCGCGTCTGCACGGAGATGCCCATTTACATATTGAAAGCGGCGACCTCCTTGCACCCCCCTAATTGAATTAATTGCCCCGGAACATCTCATTTCCTCACTGGTCAGAGAAAGGTTTAATTGTTATAAAAGCCTGGCTCCCTACTAGAACCGGGGGTGGCAATTTCACGGGTTATATATTTTAGAGAACCTCATTAAGTGCTTTTTAAAATGAAATCCCAGTTCCAGGCTAACCCCGACTACCAGATGGGCGGCGACGACACGCAGCACATCCAGCAGTTCTACGATCTCTTGACCGGCTCCATGGAGATCATCCGGGGCTGGGCGGAGAAGATCCCCGGCTTCCCCGAGCTCCCCAAGACGGACCAGGACCTGCTCTTCGAGTCCGCCTTCCTGGAGCTCTTCGTGCTGCGCCTGGCCTACAGGTACCGGCCTCCGCTGGGGCTCCTCGGGGCCGCCAGGAAATCGCAGCCTTTCAAGGTCCGCTGGGCTGCGTTTTATTAACTCCTCGGTAATTAGGTGTCCCTTAAATCCTTCATTTATTGCTCTTCAAGTAATGAGTTGTTTAGCTTGGCTCTTCCTCCCCCCCCCCCACCGCCGCTTGCTCTCTTTCCCCGGGTTTTCTTTCACGTTGCCGGCTCTTCGCCTCGCAGGTCCAACCCGGTGGAGGGCAAGCTCATCTTCTGCAACGGGGTGGTCCTGCACAGGCTGCAGTGTGTCCGCGGCTTCGGGGAGTGGATCGATTCCATCGTGGAGTTCTCCTCCAACCTGCAGAACATGAACATCGACATCTCCGCCTTCTCCTGCATCGCGGCCCTGGCCATGGTCACAGGTCAGTGCCGAGCTCCCTTCCTCCGCTTACCATTGCTTGCACTTGCCCCCGTCCCTGCTGCCAGACCTGTAACGTCCCGCTTCCTTCTCTTTTGCAGAGAGGCATGGGCTCAAGGAACCCAAGAGGGTGGAAGAACTTCAAAACAAGATTGTAAATTGTCTCAAAGACCATGTGACTTTCAATAACGGGGGCTTGAATCGCCCCAATTATTTGTCCAAACTTTTGGGGAAGCTCCCTGAACTCCGCACTCTTTGCACACAGGGGCTGCAACGCATTTTCTACCTGAAACTGGAAGATTTGGTGCCACCTCCAGCAATAATCGACAAACTTTTTCTGGACACTTTACCTTTTTAAGACTTTTCCCATGCACTTAAATTGAACTTGAAAGAAACTCCACCGGTCTGAAGGGGAACTCCCCTGTGCACAAAGCAGCGCCTTTGGGTGCCAGATTCCCATCAAACAAAACACTGTTGCTAACCTCCTGCAGGCAGAGCGTGACTGGGCATTTTGGCTCTGGGGCGTCATGGATTCAGATCATGGACTACACAAATACCATGGTATAAACTTTTTATTATCGGTTAAAAAGAATTTATTAATAAGGACTTCTGAGTAAAAAAACCAACGTATCTGGCAACGCCGGGTGCGCAGCTACGACTCATATGATAAAGTATTAAGGTGACCCACACATCTCACCCTCCTAAAGACTAAAAGTTTTCTGCTGTAAAAGAAAGCTGTAATATATACTAAAAGTAAATGTTGCGTGGGTGGCATGAAATTCAAGAAGGCAAAGGCTTGTAAATTTATCAAATGCAGTTTGGCTTTTTTTAAAAAAAATATTCTGTGCCTATTTATGAAGAAATATTAAAACCGATTCTAAAAAAAACAAGATAAACGAGTTTGCAAAAAAAGGAAAATAAAGAGAGAAACAGCTAACTCCATACAAAGGGAAAGCAAGCATGATGATTCTAGGATGACAATGTTATAGGCACTTGCTATTTCAGTAATGTCTATATTCTATAAATAGTATTTCAGACACTATGTAGTCTGTTAGATTTTATAAAGATTGGTAGTTATCTAAGCTTCAAACATTTTCTCAATTGTAAAATAGGTGGGCACAAGTATTACAGAACCGAGCTCCTTGGCAAGGGACACATAGTGTTTGTAAACACCGTCCGACATTCCTTGTTTGTAAGTGTTGTATGTACTGTTGATGTTGATTAAAAAAAAAGTTTATATCTTGATTATTTTGTTGTCTAAAGCTAAACAAATCTTGCATGCAGCAGCTTACGACTGTTTCCAGAGTGCTTATAATATACATAACTCCCTGGAAATTACTGAGCACTTTGAATTTTTGTTTGGTTTTGTTTTGTTTTTTATGTCTAAAATTGTCGGTTAATATATTATTTTATGTTCGAGTAATATTTTTAATATTGCCATATCCTGTAGTATTTTTCTTTGTATATTTCCAGTACGGCACATTATACAAGTCACTGCCTTTTTTTCTATGGTGTATGACAGTTAGAGACGCTGAATTTTTTTTCCTGATAACTCTTTCTTTAAGAAAGACAATTTTAATGTTTACAACAATAAAACCATGTAAACGAATAGAATTTCGTCTTCTTTCTGTCGAAGCGAGAAGCACCAACACCACAATCCGTTGCAGAAAAAGGAAAGAGGCTTTGACAGAATAGTAATAAAAAGTGGAAAGGAGGATGGATGGGGCTCTTTCCCTTAAGTAATTTGGGAAACTGAACTTTCAAACTCCCCAGGAAGAGGAAGCGGAAAGCCTAGGATGAAAAGGTTGGTCTTTTCCTAGATTTTATTTTTTGCAGGTCTCTGTCTACACTGTGCAAACGCTACTTTTTATGGCGTGGAGGTTACATTAAATCTTCTTACCTATTTTTTTGTTTTTTGCAAAAGCCTAGCACTTTCCCAAATGAAGCTATGTGCCACCTAGGATAGGAAATTAGAAAGGTGGCAATTCTATAGACATCGCTGGTTCCCGAGGCCATTTTAAAGCGCATTTACACTGCGTTTAGTTGTAAATATTTGCAGTTTTTAGACTTTAACCAAGGAGCCTGTTCGCATGAGCATACTTTGGGTTCTAGCTTTAGGAAAGCGTTTGACAACTAGATAAGACCTGCTTGCACCCGGGCTCGGTCTAAAGAAGTTCTGGTGCAGCGCCCCGATTAGGAACTCTTCCAGGTTAAAGCAGCTGGGCACCAGTATCTGCCCCCGTCGCGTGTCCGCGTCCGCCCGAGAAACACGGACTCGCTTCATAGCTTAACGCACCATTAGTTCAGCCCCAAGTTGTGTACTGGAGAAATTGCGAATCGACACAGAAGGCGTTAGCTCTTTGATTGCCACTAGCAGAGCCTGGCCCCGTGCAGGGGAACTGCAGGGACGTGGAAGCTCCGGCGTGATTTAGAAAACTTCCGTCCCTGATGGGGGTGCGGGTGCGGGTGCGGGTGCGGAGGGAGCCGGACAGTCCCAGGTTTGTTCTTTGCCGTCGGGTTCACCCTGTCTTCCTTGCAGCGCCGGTGGCACACTAG